GTTTTTATATTAATTATTCAAGAATCATTCTATAACACCACTTTTACTATGCAACTATGTTAAAAGTTACTTTTCAATTTGCTTTGTTTGTTCACAGCGGTTTTTTGTTCTGGACAATGGTATCCTGAAGTACTCGAAGTCTCCCATTGACGTAAGTAGAAACTATTATGGAACTCAATATCTCTCTCAGGAGATTTTGCAGTTAAGTAGTTAAGTGTTTCCATATGTAAATTACACAAACTAGCTTCATTGTTTGTGTGAGGAGTTTGTATAATACCACCACTACTATTTCCAATAGGAATGCCCACCATTTCAGATGAAACTGCTACTTTCAGTATTGGTGCACTCAGATCAGATTCCCACACCTGGAGTTTCACAGTCAACTTCCTCTGCTCTTCGTCAGATCCAGAAAAGTAAACTGCATGGCAGCATCGACGTAGGTCTGTCCGTCATGTCCATCAAGAAGAGAGCCCGGCGCATCGACCTCGACACTGAGGAGCACATCTACCACCTGAAGGTGAGGTGTGCCAGCAGGTACTCTGGCCAACAATCAATACATTTACATGCACACTAATAAACCGATCGTAATTGGATTAAGAGTGAATTGAATTGAGTGTTCGTTAGTGGTCATATAATCAGTATGGAAACACCTTACTCAGAGAATAATATTAACCGGACTACGGTGTACATGTAAACGTACGGTGGAACTCAAGGTGGCTCTTCTGTGTCGGCAGGTGAAATCCCAGGAGATCTTCGACGCCTGGGTGTCTAAGCTGCGTCACCACAGGCTGTACCGCCAGAATGAGATTGTGCGTTCCCCGCGTGACGCCACCATCCGGATGTTCCCCCCTTCCTCACCGGCGCCGGCACCGGTGGAGTCCCCACAGCCTCCCCCCCCTGCGGTGCACGAAGTGAAGGTTGGCTCTTCTGACGCTTTAGTGCATTCACTGCTGCTTTTCTCAAGACAATCTTGAGGAAATGATTTTAAATAAAAAATAATACTAGTACAGTGGTGCTAGCAGTGATAGTGTTTTTTTATTGCATTGTTTTAATGGTAATTGAGTCCCATATGAAAATGTATTTTATTACACAAATTATTTAAAGGGCCCCTATTTTACCACTTGTGATGTCACTAGAGGGTAGTCGCATGACAATTCTGAAACGGCTTGTAATGACTAATCACACTCACAACTGGTGGTAAAATAGGGGCCCTTTAAGTATTCTATTAATTACTTTTATTTGGTTATTTGGTTACTAATCAGTTGAAAGTTGAGTGGCATTTCTATATAAGAATTTGACATGTCTATTATCTAATTTTATATTTCCATTTGCTCTTTAGCCCAGGATAGGCGAGAATGTGGAAATCATATCGATGTATTTCCAGTTTTGTTTACACGTATTTGCAGTATATTACGTATATTAACACCATTATTATCATCATCATCTGTCAATCAATCTATCAATCATAAAGCAATACGCAGCTAATTAAAAAGACTGATGGCGGTTCTCGTGTAATTAGATACACCATCAATCCTATTGGAAAGGGTAATTGTACCCCGGTCGCTATCACTTGGCCATCAGGCTAAACGCTTTGTCTAGACGCTCACTTCTGTGCTCCAAACCTGGGAACAAATCCCATGTCTAGGTAATGTGTGAGTGAGCATGAGTGTGTGTGTGGGTGAGGGTGCGTAGGCTAATCAGGCATCCAGGCCATAGCTGGCAACATTGGGATTTGAAAATAAGGGAAATGGTCCGGCGCCTTGATTTGTCACATGTCGCACACCTCTTAAATTTGTAAGCTCTGCACAGAGAGTGCATGAACTGTGCATCACGGGGAATAAAATGCCCGCTTTGCCCCTCTCTCCCACTAGAGCAGGGGGAATACAGAGCAGTGAGACTCAGTGCCTCACCATCAAATACTGAGCAGAGATTATGCAGCAGGGTTCATCAGAATATGTCTGGGACCAGTCTGTCTGTCTTTCTGTCTGACCGTCCCTGTGAGTGTAGCACAATCCCAACCCCCCCGCCCCCTTATTAAAAATCAACAGGCTTCTGAATATCTGTACTTTCTCCTCCTCCAGGCTAAGCCCAGCAACCTACCCTGGCAGCCAGTGGTCCCCAGCAGCAGCAGCAGCAGCAGCCTGCCGGTCTCCTACAGCAATGGGCAGAGCAAGGTGGCCGCGTGGCTCCAGGAGTCGGAGGAGATGGACAAGTGTGCGGAGGGTAAGTTTTGACCTGCCTGAGTGGAAAGATCGACCGGCCAAGCACTTGTAACCCTGTAACCCTGATTGTTACCTGCCTAATGGTCAAATCTATCCACCATTGGCTAGTGGCGCAGGTGTTAGTTTTGGACCCTGCTCCCACACTAAAAGACATCCATGTATGGGTAACTCCTGCCAGTAGACAGGAGTCGGCCCTGCTCCTAGCGTGCTAGTGATGGGTTAAAGAGATTACGTTTCGTTGTACTGTGGTACTCCTCCTCCTCCTCCTCCTCCTCCTCCTCCTCCTCCTCCTCCTCCTCCTCCTCCTCCTCCTCCTCCACCAACCACTTCCTCAACCATCAAGTGTCTCATCCATCAGACTAATGTGAACGGCTTAAGTGCCTCCCCTCCCCCATCCCTCTACACACACACACACACACACACACTCATTAGGAGGAAATAGGAATAGTACATGAAGAGAGAGGGCTTCCGTAACACACAGTAACACCCAATAGCACCCAGTAGCATCCAGTATCACCCAGTGTGTCATGGTGGAACCTTATAATAGTTTAGGGTTGGTTTTTAATTATGAATTTATGACGATAATTATATAGTGTTTGTCCGTGCAAGGGTGCGTGCGTGTGTGTCTGTGTGTTTGTGTGTGTGTGTGTGTCCATGCGAGCGCGCATGTATGTGTGCTCACTCGTGTGTGTGTGTGTGTCCATGCGAGGGTGCGTGTATGTATGTGCTCGTGTGTGTGTGTGTGCACTCTTGTGACTTGTGTGTGTGTGTGTGTACTCTTGTGACTTGTGTGTGTGTGTGTGTGTTTCAGAGCTCTCCCGCTGCCAGTCCAGCCTGATAGAGTTGAGTAAGTTACTGCAGAGTCTGGAGATTCTGCAGCGGACACAGTCTGCTCCTAACTTCACTGACATGCAGGTACCAGACCCCCCCCCCCCCCCCCCCCCCGACCACACACACACACACACACACACATGCATATGCACACAATTACACGCATGAGCACATGCACACACACACACACACACACACACACACACACACACACACACACACACACACACATTCACACGCACACACACACACACACACACACACACACACACACACACACACACACACACACACATATACACACATGAGCACATGCACACACACATACACCTTCAGTCTCATGCACACATCACATGCACACACTCACAGGCACATAAAGGCACCACACGTGCATTTGTACAAACACACATCAAAGAAAAGGAAATATTTTAATCTCCTTGGAATGCAGGTGAGATGTATTATAGCGGACCAGTCAGGTTTCTAAGGGAGATGAATGTGTGTGTGGTGTGGAACGCACTGTTGGAGGTACCGATGCTGCCTGGCGCAGCAGGGCTCCTCAGGTATAAACTATAGTCTTCTCTTTAACTGTTATTAAATTAAATCTGTTAAAGAAAACACTCAACCGTCACTGAAAGCTCTTCAGACTGCCATTTTCTCATGCTTGATTGCTGTGTCTTCCTTCTCACTAACAGTGATCTATTAAAACACATTTCGTCGCCCCATCACACGGGGTTGAATCCACCGTTTGGTTAAACGACTTTGTCTCTAAAGCCACACACAACCCATCGCCTCGATGTTGTGTTTAACCCCAGCGCTCGGCTCACCGTGAACGTGGCTTTGCTCTGTCTCGGGGCGACCAAGCTCGGCCTCAACATATTTTTATTTGATTCTGTTGGCTTATTTTCTGCACCCCTACTAACTGCATTTTTCCATATTTTGATCCACGTTGTGCGACTTAGACCAATTGCGTAGAGTTAACAAAGAAAGACAAGCGGTTGAACAGAAGATGGAGAACAAAGAGCGTTGGCAAAGACGCTAAGTTCCAGCTCCAGGTACATGTTTCACTTTGTCCCCCACGCTGCTGTGTTTAATACATGTGTAAGTTAGCGCTTGTAATGGTGGTTAATACATGTGTAAGTTAGCTCTTGTAATGGTGGTTAATACATGTGTAAGTTAGCGCTTGTAATGGTGGTTAATACATGTGTAAGTTAGCTCTTGTAATGGTGGTTAATACATGTGTAAGTTAGCGCTTGTAATGGTGGTTAATACATGTGTAAGTTAGCTCTTGTAATGGTGGATAATACATGTGTTAGCTCTTGTAATGGTGGTTAATACATGTGTTAGCTCTTGTAATGGTGGTTAATACATGTGTAAGTTAGCTATTGTAATGGTGGATAATACATGTGTTAGCTCTTGTAATGGTGGTTAATACATGTGTTAGCTCTTGTAATGGTGGTTAATACATGTGTAAGTTAGCTATTGTAATGGTGGATAATACATGTGTTAGCTCTTGTAATGGTGGTTAATACATGTGTAAGTTAGCTATTGTAATGGTGGATAATACATGTGTTAGCTCTTGTAATGGTGGTTAATACATGTGTTAGCTCTTGTAATGGTGGTTAATACATGGGTTAGCTCTTGTAATGGTGGTTAATACATGTGTTAGCTCTTGTAATGGTGGTTAATACATGTGTTAGCTCTTGTAATGGTGGTTAATACATGTGTTAGCTCTTGTAATGGTGGTTAATACATGTGTTAGCTCTTGTAATGGTGGTTAATACATGTGTTAGCTCTTGTAATGGTGGTTAATACATGTGTAAGTTAGCTCTTGTAATGGTGGATAATGTGATAATAATAATAAGCTCGTACAGTAATGGAAGAATAGTGATATTTATATATTTCAGATCTTGATATTAGATATTTAAAATTCGAGGTTTAACATATTTAGGGTAGCGCAGTGGCTAGGGTGTTGGACTCCCAGCCGAAAGGTACTGGGTTCGATCCCCGATGTCACACAGCCTACCTGTAGGCATCCTTCAGCAAGATGTCTCCTCCTAACTCCTACTTGCTCCTTTATGCTATGACTACATAGCAATTTATAGATCTCAAAGTCTTCTTGGCTAAATGGTTCCCTGAATAAGCTATTTATGGAACTTTTTTGCAAGTTCTTCTAATGTAAATATGCTATGATCCTTATGAAACATCATCCAATCGTGTCCCTAGATACCATTTCTTGATTTCCACATTACAGTAAACATCTGAATTAACTGTAGATTACTGTTACTTTACTGCAGATGTTGCTGTTTGACGAGCCTTTAGCATGTATTATTATGATTTAAAATATTATCCCATCGCGACTTGTTTGAAAAAGGGACCATTTATACAAAAGATGCTAATGAAATTGCTGAAGCTAAATGCTGTGGCGTTCCTTCCCAATTACAGAATTACCATAACTTTCTGAATCATGTGTCAGACATAATTTAAACTCTAAACTTTCTGAATCCGCTTAAAGTTAAATGGATTCACCCCCCCCAAAAAAAGCTTGTTTATTTTGTCAGCTTTTTTTTCCCATTCCTTTTTTGGCAGTAACCACAGAAATGGATGTGGCAGTGCATGAATAAGAATATACCTTGCTACATTGGCTGTTGTACTTTCTAAACCCATCCATCCATCTGAAAGTTATTATTAATGACATATTATCATTATCATGAAGAATTATAATTGTCGATGACAAATGCAAAATAACACCAGTGTATTTTGTTTTCAGTGGGTAACATTGGTATTTCAAGAACACAGTCACACAGTATGCATATAGGACAGTATGTTTTTGTTATTATATTTCACTGTGGGGCATAGCATGTCGCCACCTGACATGACCACGCACCACGGGGACATGGAACCCAGCCGGTCAACCAGTGTCCCCTGCTTGCCAATTTCCAGCGGTTCGTTCTCCCAGGTGTGTGAACCCCTACCCTCTCCTCCTCCCTTCCCCTCCCCTCCAGGTGCCTCTGTCCTCCAGCTTGTCCCCCGTCCGTCTCCACTCCTCCAACCCCAACCTATGCGCTGAAGTGGTGGACTTCCAGGCGCCAGCGCCACGCCTCACGGACAGCGTTGAGTGTGCCAGCGATTACATCAAACTGCAGGAGGACTTCTGCACCATCGCCCAGAAGGGTAGGAGGCAGACGCACCACCAGGCACAACTGCTGCTGCTGCTGCAGGGGCAGTTGATACTCAGTGTGGGCGGATTTATGAATAATAACATAATCTACCTTGCTGGGGCCTGAGTGTGTGTGTGTGTGTACACATGTGTATGCGTGTGTGTCTGGTGTGCATATGTGTGTCTGAGTTTGTGTGTGTGTGTGTGTATATATATATATATATATATATGCATCTGTGTGTGTGTGTGTGTGTGTGTACTCCACACTTGCAGCATACGGAGGAAGGAAATGTGTCCTCTCTTGTACCCTTTGTCCCCAGTCCACTCTCTGTTGAAGTCAGCCTTCAACACGGTGGCCATCGAGAAGGAGAAGATTAAGCAGATCCTGTCCGACCAGGAGCAGTGCAGCCAGTCGGCCCAGATGACCACGCTCAGGAAGTCTCTGTCACAGGTAAACACACACAGATAGCTTCTTTTCAATCCCGCCGTGTATCCAAAACTCTTTCAATGCTTCCGCGATGGCTCAGCAAAAAAAAAACGCAACAGGACAAAAAAACATAATTTTTTGCTGGGAATCCAGGTATCATGTGATGGAGACAGATCTATTCATTTATTTATTCATTCCTTTGTCTCAGATGTCCTCAGATGTGTTTAAAGCCCTGTTCATATTAAAGATTTGCAAAGATTATCATTTATTAGCCCCTTCAGGTGAACTAAAGTCCTGAACAGAATAAAGTCAGCACCAGCCTCCAGCCAAAGGCTGGTCAAATTTGAACATTCACTAGCCATTTGGCCAGTGAATAAAAACGTTCATTGTGAAGTTAATATTCTGTTTGTGGTTTGTTTTTGGACGAGCCGGTGCATTGCCAGCTTTCAACTCCTGGGCATAAGTTAGTGCAGAAGTTAGCACATAAGTTAGCGTTAGCACCCGGTCTATGTCGCTACAATAGCCACAGACGGCCTGAGTTCCAGGACATTACCTTGTGATTCTTTTGCATGCAGTCGCCCGTTGCAAATCTTTGAACTGAACTGGGCTTTAAGCACGCCTCACTTCTATTTAATAAACGAAGCACGGCTGATTCCCTCGCAGTCACTGTCACATCTATTAGCGAAATGGCCACGCACATCAACAACAGGGCAAATGAGTTGAGAAGCTCCCTTCATCTTAATTGATGTGTGTGTGTGCGGGGGGGGGGGTTGAGCCATGTCATCCAGTTCATTAGCTTCTTGCTTCTCAGGGCTCTCTCTGGAAGCCAGGCTACTTCATTAGCCTGTATCTCCCCTGAGTTGACATCATTGTGGCGAGACGTGTCATTGGCGTTAGCGTTCGTTTTGTTCCTAATTAGTTTTGAGTCTTTTTTTGTAATTCTTTTTGAAAGGTGTGGAGGCCGATCACGGGGGGGGGGGGTGGTCAGGGGATTTGAAATGTCATAATGAGCTGTGTCGTATTTGAAAAATGCTTCTTTTAAAGTGGTAGTTCACAAAAAATAATGAGCAAGAGCTGTATGTACCGGTCATGTCATATGGTTGGACGTACAATATAACTACTCTCACATACAAAATATCAACTCTCACAAGCAAAAGGCGATCCTCTCGCTATCTACCCATATCTGTTGCCATCCATCAACCCTTTGTTCTTGTTTATCACTGGTTGTCATGGAGGCGTGACATTCAATTACCCAAACTACTGTTTGGTGAAAATGTAATCCCAGAGCAGAAGGTAGAGCAGGTGGGAGTTAATACAAAATGTATTTAAAAAGAAAAGAGCAGGTGGGAAGAATAGGAGACGAATATGAGATGATGTCCCGATAGCTTTGGTACCTCAGGAGGTCGATCCCACTGCTTATTCCTGCTTATGATGACTCTATAAACAGAATATTTTCCATTTATTTTCTAAGTTTTCTTGGCACAATAGAGGCAGCAGTTGCCCTTAAAAATCAGCAATATCCCAACGTTCTTCTTACGACCAAAAACAACCGCCATCTTGGATCTTGGAACAACCCTGTCGCCATTTCGTCACTCCAGGCGCTGTCCCAGAACGCAGAGCTCCGCACGCGACTCAGCCGCATCCACTCCGAGTCGGTCTTGAGCGAACAGGTGGTCAGCGTAAACATCATCTCCACGGCAGACGAGGTACGACCCGGAGGCAGCCATGGCCGTCCGTCTGTGAGGCTCAGGATGCAGCATGTAGTTCCTCTAACGGCCTCTATGTGGTTCACGGTAGAGACTAGCATGTAGTTCCTCTAACGGCTTCTAGGTGGGTCCCGGTAGAGACTAGCATGTAGTTCCTCTAACGGCCTCTAGGTGGTTCACGGTAGAGACTAGCATGTAGTTCCTCTAACGGCCTCTATGTGGTTCACTGTAGAGACTAGCATGTAGTTCCTCTAACATCCTCTATGTGGTTCACTGTAGAGACTAGCATGTAGTTCCTCTAACATCCTCTATGTGGTTCACTGTAGAGACTAGCATGTAGTTCCTCTAACATCCTCTAGGTGGTTCACTGTAGAGACTAGCATGTAGTTCCTCTAACATCCTCTATGTGGTTCACTGTAGAGACTAGCATGTAGTTCCTCTAACATCCTCTAGGTGGTTCACGGTAGAGACTAGCGTGTAGTTCCTCTAACATCTTCTAGGTGGGTCCCGGTAGAGACTAGCATGTAGTTCCTCTAACATCCTCTAGGTGGTTCACGGTAGAGACTAGCGTGTAGTCATTCTAACGGCCTCCAAGTCAATGGCAAGAAATCAATGTAATTTAATTCCGGTAATACAAAAGCCAATACTTTTTTGTTTGTTCGGTTAGGATGTCAGTGGCTAGTTCATCTTCATATTATTGCTATTATTACATTTCCGAGGTCCTGGTTGACAATTATATTTCATTAAAATGTTATTAAGGATTGTTTTATTGGCCGTATACTAGTGTAAGGCGGCCAGTCAAGTTCCGATCTCAATGTGCCAAATATGGATCGTTTCCGCTGCTTTGGGCAAAAATATAAAACAATGGTGATGCTGAAATGTACACCCTCAAAACAGTTGCGTGTAAAGCAATGGGTGACGTCACAGACGGTGCATATGTTGGGTAAGACGCAGCGGTCCGACCGACCAACGAAAGGCAACCCGCTGGCTCATTACGTCTTAGTTCCCGCTCTGCTCGTCGATTACGAAGCCCGGTCTTTACAGTGTCTGTCAATAGCATTATTGATCCCAAACCTTTTAAAAGTGAAATCGGTTGTTTCCGGAACACATTGGCATGTGACCTTAACAGCTCACCTGCCAAGACCCTGACACAAAAGAAAAAAGAAAAAAAAAACTATGGAGAACTGACTAATCAGAAAAAATGGCTGGCTGCCCACAAGAAAAAAACACACTCTCGGCAAAGTCACCCTATTTGCACGCATTGCAGTACCCTATTTTTCTCCCGTTGAAACTCAAGGCTCTTGAGTAAAGCTGGTGTGTGTCGGTGTGTGTGGTGTGTGTGTGTGTGTGTGTGTGTGTTGTGTTGTGTGTTTCCGCAGGGAGAACAGATGGGGATCCCTCTTACTCAACAGGCCTCCAACGAGAGCCGGCTCTCGATGTCCGAGTCGGTGTCCGAGTTCTTCGACGCCCAGGAAGTGCTTCTGTCCGCGAGCTCGTCAGAGAACGAGGTAATGCAAAGACGGTCCATCCGCTTAGAGTGTCGTCGGCCATGCGGGCGCTAGGCACCACTAGCGGGATAGTGTCGGGGTTAGGATGTTACACTCCCAGACTGAAAGGTTCTTGGTTTGAACCCGAATGTCCGCAGCCTACCTGTATCCATCTGCGAAGCCAAACCCTGTATGTATCATCCTTGAAGACCTGTAAAGGCTTCTGGCTCGGCCGAAAGGGGCCA